CGCCACCCTCGCACTCCGCTGCCCTCGCCGCCCCCTCCCGGCTGCCCGCTTCCCTTGCCGCCCCCTCTGACCGCCACGACCCTCGCCTCTCTCCACCTCCGTCCGGTGTGCCGCCGCTCTTGCATACTCTCTCTCCCTCGCCTCCAGCCACCCCGCCGCCGTCGCCGGCCCGCCGCTGTCATCCATCCAACCTAGCAAGCATCCTGACCTGCTGTGGGAACAGCTCCTGACGCAGTCTCGCCAAGGCTCGCCCGCTCGCCTCAACCTCTCGGGTTGTAACTATGTTTTTCAAAAGAGGTGAGGGTTCCCGGCATATTCCTCAATATCCCGCACAAAGACCAAAGTCGGCCCAAACTCGGCCTCTCGCCGGTTTGCGCTTGGTCACTCGGAACTCCTGCTGCTGCTCAGTTCAGTCATGCACGCTGTGGCCATGATGTTGCTCTTGCTACACGGCACGACAGCACAGGACGGCTCTTATTCCGAAATAACGTCTGGACTTGGACTGAGCATCCGAGTGCAGTACCCCTCGACGGCCTCGGAGGGAGTCCCGCTCGTGGTCTTCCTCCACGGAACCAAAATCGACCCCTCGTGGGGCGACACCGACGCCCTTGCCCAGTTTGCGGCGCAAGAAATGGGAGTCGCGTTTGCCCTCCTGGAGTGGCCAAATTGGGACGGCTCGGACTACAACTTTGACGGCTTCAGTGTCGAGTACTATTGCAATGCCACCGCCGACAAGGCGGCCCAGCTCTTCGGGCACACGGAGACGACCAGCCTCTCCGCGCTGTGCGCGCTAGAAGCCATCGACTGCTCCAAGGGCGTGGGAGTCGCGGGCTACTCGCAGGGCGCGGCAATCGGATCAATGGCAGCTGCGCTCGACGATCGCGTGACTGCGTTCTTCAGCATCGCGCTGAACACGGTGGTGGTTTATGCCGACTTGGAGGAGGCGACTTGCCATCGGGACGCGACCCTTCCCGCTAGCGCACGTCGCTACCTGCACGGCGGCGCTGACGCCGACTGGAACCCGGAACAAGTTCCGCTGCCCGCACCATACAACGACGACCTGGAGGTCGGGATTTACTCGCTCGTGGCAACGTCGGGCTACGACTGTGGCGATCAGCTCGACTGCCTGCAGCCCGACGGCTCGGGCTATTTCATCGTGCCAGGCGTGGATCACTTTGACATTTACGCATTCTCATTTGACGAGTGGACCGGCGAAGGCATGGCCGCCTTCGGGCCCATGTTGAATGGGCTGGTGTGGCTCATGGCGCGCGCCACCACCGACGCGCCGGGGTGCCCATGTCCCGCGGGGAGCCGCCGGGAGCTGCTCTTTGGCTCCGTGCGGTCCCCTCCCGAGTCGGCCTGCTGCGCGAGCTTCTAGACAGGGCGGAATAAAGCCGTATTTCGCGTCCCGCTCGCACTGCTCGGCGCTCGTCCACGCTCCACGACTCGTCGGTTGCGACTTAGGACTTTCTGCGTGTGCCACTGGGCCCGGACCGTGCTCCGTGGCGCTAGGACGTAGCTCGTAGGAGCCAGCTCTGGGGCGTCTATGCTTGTAAAGTTTTTGACGTAGGAACTAAAATCACATGCGTTTTCGGGGTACCGGGTGTAGCGGGTTCCGGGTACCTCTCTGCCCGCCCGATCGACCTCCACAAGCGCGTGGCGCGCGCTCAGCGGCGGCGGCGGCGGCCCTCACCGCGGAAAAGGCTCACGAGCCGCTCGAGCGCGACGCGCGCGGTGCCCGTCTCACTTGCGGGCTCGCCGAGCCGTTGGGCGACGTCCGAGTGACCTATGCCGGCAGAGGACGAGGCGATTCGAGCATGGGTCTGGGAGATTGAGGATGGGAGGCCAGCGAGTGCAAGAGGTGTGCGCCACGGCGGTGAGGAGAAGGGGCGCCGCCGCGGACGTCCTGTTGCCCCGCGGACTTGAGGCCGATGGCAGCCCGCCTCCCTGTCTCTGTCTCTCCATCTAGGCTGCGCGGCCGAGCGAGAAGTCGGGGTCGAGGACGTCGCGCACGCGCTGCTTGAGCTCCTTTGCCTCTGGAAAGCGGCCCTCCTGCTCACACCTGGAGGCGTGAAGAGACGACGTCCAGGCCCACACCTCCCGGGCGGCAGTGCTCCTCGGCGCGGTTCCACACGAGTACACTGCCAGCGCCTGGATCAAAAGGAAGTCCGCTTGGAATGTGGGGTGTGTTCCACCCGAGGGCGCGGACCGCGCCCTCGGTTGTCAGCGTCACGTTGAAGACACCCGCCTCGACCGCATTCGGCAGCAGGCGCACCTGAGCGGTGGGCCGGCGGGCGGACAGGTGCTGGGACGCGCAGCGAGGAAGTGGCGATTTTTTCCGCGGTACCTCTGCGAGACTGGCGTTGAACGTGGTGAGGAGCTCCTGCCCTAGCCAGGCAGAGCGCAGCATCCAGTTGCAGCGCGAGCAGTACTCTATCCCCAGCGATGGTGTGCGCACGAGTTGCGGTTGCTGCTGCTGCGGAGGATCGCATCGCCGCTGGCCGAGCGTGCGAAAGGGCGTTTTCGTCGGACTGCACACGAAGCTTGCCTGGCTCTCACTTAGGCAGGACGCGAGGCAGATGAAGGCAGCTAAGCGCATAGCGAGACGAAAGCAAAATAACGTGTGGGGACTCAGCGGAGCTGGGAATAGGACCGCCGCGAGCGGCGTGGCGTGGAGCGGTTGTGCATCCCTCCGGGGGCCCCTCTGCGCCGGGGAGGCGTTGTTGGAGGCTAGGACGCAAGCGTCCGTCGCCCTTTTCAAACTCGGGGCCCACTCCGCTACGCTCCGACCCGAATTTGGAGGGCCTAAAAGTTTAAGGTGTTGCTGCGCAAAAAGGGGTCGGACACCGGGCGCAGCTCATGCTAAGAGCTAGAAGAGGAGATAGAGAGAACAACCACCCTGTCCCGTTATTGCGTACACCAACACCACAAAACGCTCTCTCTCTCCTGTCCTCACTCAGGGGGGTCACAACTACCAAGTCCCTCGACTAGCTGCCACAGGGCGCAGCTGCCACAGGGCGCAGCTGGAGACGCTCCCCCTCAATCGGCATCCACCCCCACCCGCTCCAGCCCCACTTCTGCTGCCGAGAGAGCTGAATCGAAGCAAGCGAGCCATTGCATCTTGGCGTGCTCCTGGAGCGCGGCTTTCTGCGGCCACGAGCACGGCGGAGTCGGCGTCGTAGCGCGCATCGTTCCCGCTCATCGCCCATTCCTCCCACGTGACGTGTGTCGGCCGCGATTCGATGTCGCCACCTTCATTGCCAACGAGGACTCCCTCGACTGCAGGGGGGCTCCGGCGCGGGGAGGGACTCCGCCTGCTGCGCTGGCCGACTGCGCCCTCCTCCTCCATGGGATCGATCCGAATCCGCAGCGTATCGTCCCCAGCGGCGGTGCTGCGCGGGAGGCGGCCGCGGGCACGCTGGGCTCGATCAGCTTTCCCTAGCACGGATTTGGCGGACGGACGTTCTCGGCTTCAATTTACGAATGTCTTGGCACCAGCTGAAGGCTTGCGTCCCAGATCGCCCAGTTCGTGCACGGTATTCGGATTTTGCTATTTGCTCGTGTGGGGGTATATTGCAGAGTTGTCAATGGTACCGCGTCTGCGACGCGGGCGCCTTGCGAGCAGAGCCCTTAGGACACCCTTTATATCTTGCGCGGTCATAACGCCGCCCAGCGGAGCAGGGAATAACGCACGGGCCCTCAGCGGAGCTGGGAATAGGACCGCCGCAAGCGGCGTGGCGTGGAGCGGTTGAGCATCCCTCCGGGGGCCCCTCTGCGCCGGGGAGGCGTTGTTGGAGGCTAGGACGCAAGCGTCCGTCGCCCTTTTCAAACTCGGGGCCCACTCCGCTCCGACGCTCCGTCCGACCCGAATTTGGAGGGCCTAAAAGTTTAAGGTGTTGTGCTGCGCAAAAGGGGTCGGACACAGGGCACAGCTCATGCTAAGAGCTAGAAGGGGAGCTAGAGAGAACGACTACCCTGTCCCGTTATTGCGTACACCAACACCACAAAACGCTCTCTCTCTCCTGTCCTCACTCAGGCAGGGGGGTGCCACAACTACCGAGTCCCTCGACTAGCTGCCACGTTGCCGACCGAGAGCGGATCTCCTCCTGCTCCGCAAGGAGGGTGGCCAAGGCTAAAGTCTTGCCGGAGCCGCCGGGTTGACGACTTGGAGAAGGTCGCCCTTGTACTTGTACTTGTAGAGATGCTCGAGGGGGTGCTTTGTGGGGCGGTGCGCAGCCAGGCCAGCAGTGAGCGGAGGCGCACCCTCACTCTCCTCGGTTGCAGAGCTCGTCGGAGGCTGCGTCACGACGAGGGTCGCGATAGCAGTCCTCGGGCGAGCCGACGCGCATGTCCAACCAGCGCTGGGACTCGTTGTGACGGCAGACGCCGGCTGCCTCTCCAACCGCTTCTGCAGCGTCCTTCTTTGCCACCCGATCCGATTCCGCAGCGTGTCGTCCCCAGCGGCGGTGCTGCGCGGGAGGCGGCCGCGGGCACGCTGGGCTCGATCAGCTTTCCCTAGCACGGATTTGGCGGACGTTCTTGGCTTCAATTTTACGGGAATGGCACACCAGCTGAAGGCTTGCCCGGCGCACATCACGCAGTTCGTGCACGGTATTCGGATTTTGCTATTTGCTCGTGTGGGGGTATATTGCAGAGTTGTCAATGGTACCGCGTCTGCGACGCGGGCGCCTTGCGAGCAGAGCCCTTAGCCACCCTTCATATCTTGCGCGGTCATAACGCTCGCTGCCCCGCGGAGCAGGGAATAACGCACGGGCCCTCAGCGGAGCTGGGAATAGGACCGCCGCAAGCGGCGTGGCGTGGAGCGGTTGAGCATCCCTCCGGGGGCCCCTCTGCGCCGGGGAGGCGTTGTTGGAGGCTAGGACGCAAGCGTCCGTCGCCCTTTTCAAACTCGGGGCCCACTCCGCTCCGACGCTCCGTCCGACCCGAATTTGGAGGGCCTAAAAGTTTAAGGTGTTGCTGCGCAAAAGGGGTCGGACACAGGGCGCAGCTCATGCTAAGAGCCAGAAGGGGAGCTAGAGAGAACGACTACCCTGTCCCGTTATTGCGTACACCAACACCACAAAAGCTCTCTCTCTCCTGTCCTCACTCAGGGGGGTCACAACTACCGAGTCCCTCGACTAGCTGCCACGTTGCCGACCGAGAGCGGATCTCCTCCTGCTCCGCAAGGAGGGTGGCCAAGGCTAAAGTCTTGCCGGAGCCGCCGGGCGCGTTGACGACTTGGAGAAGGTCGCCCTTGTATACTTGTACTTGTAGAGATGCTCGAGGGGGTGCTTTGTGGGGCGGTGCGCAGCCAGGCCAGCAGTGAGGGGAGGCGCACCCTCACTCTCCTCGGTTGCAGAGCTCGTCGGAGGCTGCGGCACGACGGGAGGGTCGCGACAGCAGTCCTCGGGCGAGCCGACGCGCATGTCCAACCAGCGCTGGGACTCGTTGTGACGGCAGACGCCGGCTGGCGCGGTCAAAAAAGGTGTGCAGGCGCGTTGCACTTGCCAGTGCTGCCCTGGCCTTCTGTCTGCCCGCCTCATGGGTGGCAGGTGCCTCTGCTGCTGTGGGATGCCTCACGGCTGCGACTGGCCGGCGCCTCGGCGTGTCAGCTCGGCTCGGCGTAGTGATAGTGGCCAGCGCAACTCGCCTGGACTCAACGCTCAGCCAGGAGAGCTCCCGCACGCGCTGGCGCGAGTCATGGCGCAGACAACGCGTCTGAATACTCGCCTCGCCTCGCGCAAATGCGACCGTCCTCGCAGCCGACAGTCCACCGCCTGAAGCACAGCGACGAATGCGGCACCGGCGACGCATGGCAGGCTGGTCATGACGAAGTTGTAGGGTGTTGTGCGCCGTCAGAGTGACTCTCTGTGTGTCAGGGATAGTCAGGGCCGTCCATCAGAGCTCCAGTAAGCTCGCAGACACCCCATTAGTGCGGCTCGACCTCTTTGAGTCACTGCCTTCCCGGCGGTTTGGCTGTAGAGCCTCTACAGCAAACTCTACAGCAAAATCGCGCTCTACATCGCTCTATAACGCAGGCGCTTCGTCCCGCGGCGGATGTAGAGCTCTACAGCTCTACTGCGTGTTCCTGTCTGTTTAGGGTCTTTGTGCTCCGGGATGGTGTGCACCGTCCGTTTGCTTGGGCGGCGAGAAGCGCCGTCTTTGCGGCGTCTGTCGCGCGGCGGAGGGAGGGCGGTTCGGCGGCGATGGGAAAGGACGGCGTGGCGGCGCCGCAAGCGCGTTCGGTCGCGCGCGCCCCGAGGCCGCCGTCTTCGGTGCAGCGTTCGTGCCTGACTGAACTGCTGTTGCGAACCCTTCTGTGAAGAGGGCCTGTCTAGACAGCTGTACCGCCCCCCCCCCCCCCCCCAA